AAGCCCCCAAAAGGGCACAATCGTGTGAATCCATAGTTTGGCACGTGGGCACCATGACTTGTGGCACGTGTCACCACACATTATCATCGCGCTCCTTCCATTCATCATCGAAGCGCGCCAACCCCGAGTTTGTTCGTGCCATGGGTGCCGAGATGTGGCACAAAACGTGCAAAACTCGTGGAAGAGAGCGAAATCCATCTGTGAGCCTGTGCCACGTGATACGTGTTACCGTACCATTTTGCAAGATACACGACCCTTCCCGTGTCGTTATCACCCACCGTTATCGAGATATCGGTGCGAGATGGCATAATCAGTCGGAGGCAATTCCTTACGGCGGCCAGTCACGTCATCAGACGACCGTTTGACCTCGAAACAACTTCCGGCGTCGGCCGAGACGCCGGACGGCGCCATTCCGTCGCAGCGTAGAAAGCCGCCATGCAGCCCATTAATCTAGGCTCATTTGCGATCAACATATGTCAAAACGTGACCAACAACAGTGTGATATACGGAGAGAGTGAGTCGCCGACAAGCTGATGTAATTTTCAACGCCAAATCATGAATAGTTTTGACGGTAGTAGCTTGCATATTCGGCACCGATTCTTAAAGCTTGGAATCTTGTAATTTGTCCTGCAATTTGTAACACGACGGTGCGTTGCACAAACTCCCGGTGCGACTGAAAGTGTAGCCGCGTCAAATGCGGATGTTGGGAAACAAAATCCACGCCTGTACGCGCACTGTGAACACAGCGACCGTCACACGGCGCGAGGTCGACCAGCATGCGTCAGCCGAGATTGTGCTTACGGAGGACCCGTCCGCCAGTGAACAGCCGGACAGACTGCACGCAATGCTACTAGAGAAGGCTATGCAGACGTGACGTCACCATAGGGCTAAAGTTTGGGAGCCCGTAGTATGGTTTTTGGCTGATACTACGCGAAGGTTGGTAGATACTAGCAGCATGATTACGAACGGAGATCTCGCCCGTGAACTGGGTAGCCACCCTGTTCTACATCTTGTGCCTGTGCCATGTGCCTGAATATTTATATGTATTGCTTCTTGCGAAACGTATATTTATTAACAAATAAATGAATATCATCCGTTATGTTAACAATACATTTATAAGTGGGCAATAACTGCCCAGTTGTCGTCGCACTGCAGTACCTAAATGGTGACATGTGAACATAAGACAATGTGTGGAGGGCAGGTGCCAAAAATTTCGCTGCTTCTTTACTATGATCTTGCTAGTCATTGGTTAACTTGCAGGTCCGTAGTGTCGGATGGGTAAGGTGAAAAAGGTACGCAGGGAATAATTCCCCGACTACCCTTATATACCCAATATTATTTCCGAGCTTAGAAATGGGTCATCACCCTTGGACTGGCACAAATTGCGAAACTTGCCGGACATCGTCCCATTCTGAGTAAAAATCTGCTATCTTGAACTGAAATAGTGTGCTCTGCATATACGCCTCCCGGGGGCCACCCCTCACTGCCTCCATTCGTGAAAGCCAACCCTGCATCCTGCCCGGCAACAGGAATGGCTACAGGCTACAGGATGTGCATTCCAACTTCTCAATGCGCGTCCCAGGCTGCTGCAAGCCTGTCTGGGCCGCCGTTTCTCATCTTCACTCCACGCTGTTGTTGTTGTATGTTGTACTCTTACACAGACTGTTTCTAAACACTCTCGGCTAGAGTTCTCCGGGATAAATCACTGGTGAATGGGTGAATGGGTTACCCCATCTCTCTGTTGAGGGCAGACTGGTAGGGTACTTCAGCAATAATTGTGTGGTTCTGGTGCAAACTAACGCCATTTCCCAGCCGAAAATGTTTCATTGAATGTGCCAGATCGAACAAGTTCGGCCTTTGAAAATATTCGTGTTTAAACCAACCCACAAAGAACAGCGTTTTCGCGCCGCCATAGCGCTGGCGCCATTTGACTTGGTCCCATGATGCCGTCAAAGCATTGCTACCTAGAATGCAGTAATGCGGGGGCTTAGAAGCTATATGAACTGTGGGTCGACACCTGGGCAGATTTAGCAAGCGTGGGTTGATCGAGAAGAAAACACTGAAAACACGTGACGAGCGTATTCCACCGACATAAAATGCATGTTTCCCGGGCCGCCGTATTATAGTTATCACTGCGTGCAGAGTGACCGTCGTTAGCTCTGTCGGGCTGTCGGGCGGGGACTTGGGCAAAACAAATAATTTTTATCGTCGTGAGACTTGCATTGTTGGCCGACAATGCTCCAGCAATGACATCGTATGTACAAAGTTGCACTCTTCGCGCACAAGTAAATATATTTAAAACTGGATGTCGTATCTTTGGAAATCACCGCTCGGGCGGGCCCTCAGACACTGAGTTATACGCCGCAGTAGGATCGACCGAAGACAATTTGAAACCCAAATCGGAAGAGTGTTTTACTGGCAGCTGATAGCGCCTCACCGGTGCTGTTAAATGCACAGGGTCTCAATGCAAACTTCGGGTTGGATTATAAGTACTGTTCCGGGCCGCTAATCTGCGGCAGCCCAGCCGCCGTTAGCTTTGCTTTGTGATAGGGTAATTTGAACAAAAACGGTCATGTGCTCCCATGCAAGATTCCATAGCTGGCCGATAGTGCTTCTACAGTAACATCGTTAGGACAAAGTTGCACCTTCCGCGCAAGTCAAAGCATTCTAAATTGAGCGCTGTATCTGTGCAAATCATCGCTTCACTCGATCAGCCAGTATTCCGCGATACGCCATCGGTGGTTCAACCGAAAAATCGAAACTAGTCTGACAAATGAGTTGTGCTGGAAGTTGATAGCCCTATATCCGTGCTTTCAAATGGACACGTCTGCAATATTGGAGTTTGATTATACGCATTTACGCATACGCACACGCATACGCGTTTCCATGACCAATATCTGGCCACCACTCCACGTGTCAGTCGTTATGCGCCGACAACTGATAAGAGCAAAAAATGTCAGAACAGTCATGTCAGTCAGTGGGAAATTTACATAACCGACCGAGTGCTCCCACAGCGACATTGTGTGCGCAAGGTTGCAACTTCCCCGCACAAGCAAAAGCATTTCAAGCCGGACGCCGTGTCTTTGCAAATCATCGCTCCAGCCGCCCCGCCATTATTCGGTGATGTACTGTTGAAGTATCCGTCCCAAAAATCGAAATCAAAGTATAAACAATAAGTGCACTGGCAGCTGCTGGTCCTATAGCAGTGGTTTTTAAGTGTGTTAAGATTGTTGAACTATAAGGTGCCATGGAGACCGATGTCTTCTCGAAAGCCCCAAAGGAGACCGAAGTCAACGACACATTTGATATATCCGAGAATGAAAGGCAGTTACTGCGGAAAAAAATCCCTAACTAAGAGCCCGAAATTGCCCACAAAAGGTATTCTTTCTCACTCACAACACTAGATTTTGACGCGTCATGTATTTTTGGGTCATTTATGACGTCCAAGATTTGAGGCCGTTGTCTGAATTGTTGTCGGTGACCTCTAGCTAGAAAAATGGATGAGTGTAGGAGCCTCGGTGCCTTGTTTCGCTAAGGAATGCATGTAAGGAATCATGGAATGATATGGCAATGCTTCATTAACGTCGAGCTATCGAACGAACACAGCAGCAATCTCCGCACCTGACCATATTACTTTCCCGGGGTACTGCGTTATGGTTAGCACTCTGCGTCCCGGCCCGGAGCCGCCGATAACCTGCGCTGCGGAGCGAGTGATTTTAAACAAAGTCACGGTGCGCCGGTGCTGCGACTGGACGTATGCCGGATGGATAACGCTGCCCATCATTGACCTGTACGGCATGATGCCCGCTATGTTGTGTCAATATGCTCTTATCATTGTAACACCGGTTCCCGCGCTCAAGTAAACGTCTTGTGTTGGTACCGTGATAAGTTGCTCTCTGTCCTGCCAACGTAATCATCGTCCTGGGGGGCACAAGTGGTTTTTAGCGCGCATGCGCTGTGGAGCGTCGTACACATCTACGTTTGGGTTCGATATCAAGAGCTGCGGCCTTCCTTTTGTAGATCTTTTCTTCTTTCGCGTGTTCTCGCAAGCTACGTGGGTGGTCACGGGACCCGGCCAATCACAGGCCGTGGGAGTAGAGTCACATGGGCCTGGGGGTCGGGGTCTGCGTTGGGTCAGTGGTGATCCGGGCGGGCCGCCTGGAAGGTAACCAGCCTCTCGTTGATTATTCCCGACGTAGCTGGGCTCCTTTACCTTCCGCTCCCTTTGACTGCCCACATCCGGTCCTTCTACTACCCTCAGGCTTCTCGTTGATATACACGACGTACAGCGTGTCCTTGTCCATCCATTGCTATCCACCGATGTTGACACAGTCGTAGTGAGCCGTGTTGTTTACCGACAACTGCTACTGCCCCTTGGGGATCAGAGCCGCCGGTGTACTCTTACCGCACAGGGTTCTAGTGATGTAGGGAAATTGTGAATGACTTCACGTGCCTATATACTCCTGTGATCAATATACCCTATTTTGGTTAAACGCCTTTGGTCTACTAGAGATTAAATCGAGCCCGCCCAACATAAGTGTTTACAATTTTGGACTGGTGCAGTGGACATGGGACATTTGTCATTGTTAATTAATATCTTTGACATTTTGCACTGGACACGGACAATGTTATGACAGGCAGCAGGGTTACTGGATGGAAACACTTCAATCACAACACGCGATGCATCACTGCTCGCCGGGACGGTGTGGGCGATGAAAGAAATAAATTGAATGCAGGCAACTAAAATCTATCCGAAGTTAGATGAACTTTTTACCTTTTTGGAATCTGAGATAACCGAGTAATGATCCCGTTGTACCTTCACCTGTTCTATACAGGTCCACTCAACGCAGCTGATATCCAAACATAGCGTCAATGCTGCACCAGCCAAATCACGTGTCTGACTTGAACCAAATGATTAATCTGACTTTTCTTGGTCCGTGAGGTCCCGCCCAAAAGCCCAAAATGTCCCACCGGTCACTACTGCATAACGACGGAAAATACATTGCATAACTAGTATATTGCAACATAAGATCTCAGCAGCATGATTTCACGACCATACCCCATTGCAGTCAAATACACATTTATCACATGGCCAACTTATTAACAGGCTAGTGCCGGCAGGAGTCCAGACAGAGCGTAGCCCCGCTACTAAAAAAGTTGAAGAAATTCCTTGCTGGCATAGGCGAAAGACACGGTCGGCCAGTTAAGCACACGACACTGCACAAACCGGCGAATGAGTTCCTCTCGCAGACACGGACAGGGAGCTCAGCCATGGCCATGTCTGCATGTACAGACCGGCCTCGGTCATCACGTCTGCGTGTACAGACCGACCGCCGCCATCACGTTTGCGTGTACAGACCGACCGCCGCCATCACGTCTGCGTGTACAGACCGGCCGCCGCCATCACGTCTGCGTGTACAGACCGACAGCGGCCATCACGTCTGCGTGTACAGACTGGCGGCGAACACGATGTCGCGTTTGATGTCGGTGCTGGCCTGGCTCGCCTTCTCATAGAGCGTGGGGTTGCCGATGGTCCGGGCGGCGTTCCTGACATCGCGCAGCGTCTCATCCAGCCGCTGGATGCAGCGCACGATGATGCCCTCCTGCACGTCCGTCAGCTGCACGATGTTGTTGAACGTCTGCGGCAGACCGGATGGCGCTGAAGCCGGGCCGAAGCCGAGACCGAGCGCGGTGCAGCGGCGGAAGTGAAGGGAGCTGACAGGTGCCCGGTGACACCGGCCAGGCAGCCAGACACGGCAAAAGGCGCGGATGAACGCGACCGCACGGTCAATTATTTTGCGCAGTTGATTCTGCTTCCCGTTTGAAATACACAAGCTCAGCGCTATCGGAGAGGCGTTGCCCGCAGCTTACGTTCTCTTTTCCACATATGGTTTGATACCGCATATCATCCTAGCATTAAGCGACCGGCGGATCAGGCGATACAAAATCAATATTATCAATCTGGCATTGACATCATTATGCCTTGGTGAATGGGAAACGCACTCCCATATGGTGCCTGCTATGGCACTTCATGTGAATTTGTAACACCACGGCAGACGGTCCGCTATCAATGCGGCACGACTTCTTACATCAAATTGCACCATATTTGAACAGCCTAGGATTCGATCCCTGCACTCCAGTTCTGTGCCATCTGGATTCGCTTGTATCACGTAATTTGGACCTGATCTGGGCCCTTTCACTCTTGCAATTCATGCAAGTCTTTGGAATTTGGACCTATTCCCCCTGGTATGTCATGCTCGTATAATTGGGTCGACTTGAAACTGATATGAAACAAATCTCCGTTTTCGTCCTACCATTCTGCAAGTTAAATGATCGATAAGCGGCGTCTTTCGGCAGGAAGCATGATGTGCAACGAACACAATCGTTAACACTGTCGTCGCTTATCTCATAACATCTCAAAATATTTTGCACATGAGATGCAGTGGATGACAATGGGCGTTCTGCAGTTTGATACTTTTTTAAGTTAGAAAATCAAGAAGACAATTACATCCATCCAGCGACATTCGTGAATGCTTGTAATCATTTTCACGGCGGAACTCGAATCTATAATAATTAGCTCAAATACATTTATAATCGCCCAGAACTCTACTTGTACTGATTTCGTTGCACAGCTATAAACGCACGTGGGTCACCCGGAACTGCACCGTGGTATTACATACGCTTTACACTGAGGAACCGCCCTGTGACGCACCAACACAATGAAATCAGATGTCCTCCCTCCATAAACGTGGTCTTTTAGTATCGCTTTAACTTTCGGATTGCCAAAATTAACTAAATAGCTCTAACATTCCTGCGGCAAAGGAGCTTCAATTGCATCCCTGAACAGGAATAGGAAACCTTATCTGCAGCCCTTTTCAAAGAATCACCCGAATATTCCATTCACGAGTCACCGACCCCTACCGCCTTAATGACCCGAGGTTCCCAAGTTCTTGCTAGTTTGCCCGAAAACTCTCAATCCACAAGCACTTAGCCGGAGCTAGCAAAAGGTTCCAGTCTCCTCGATAGTATCGATCAGGAAATTCTCGCTGCCGAGCGCGGCCAAGCTGACTACGCCCGGGCGGTGCCCTCTTACCATGCCTCGGGCCCACTCGAACACCACCTCCACCAGGCCAAAGTTCAGCATCTCCTCGTGTTTCTCGGCGTCGCCCAGGTGACATTCGTTCTGGCAGTGGTCGATCTCCCGGGCCACACTGATCAGCTCCTCCTTACCCTGCAGTGGTCACACGGGACACGGCGGCGGTCACACGGGACGCAGCAGCGGTCACACGGGACACAGTGGCGGTCACACGGGACACAGTGGCGGTCACACGGGACACAGCGGCGGTCACACGAGGCACAGCGGTGGTCACACAGGGCACAGCGGTGGTCACACGGGACACAGCGGTGGTCACACGGGACACAGCGACGGTCACACGGGACACAGTGGCGGTCACACAGGGCACAGTGGCGGTTACACAGGGCACAGCGGTGGTCACACGGGACACAGCGACGGTCACACGGGACACAGTGGCGGTCACACAGGGCACAGCGGTGGTCACACGGGACACAGCGGTGGTCACACGGGGCACAGTGGCGGTCACACGGGACACAGTGGCGCGAGACATTGACCAGCGCGGCGGCACAACACTCCTGATGAGCCAGCTGGACCACACGCAAAACATTACACGACGCAAGGCACGGCTATTTAGTACTAGTGTCAGGGATACCCAGGCGCCGTGAAGGGTCCAATAGCCCGGCGCCTTAGAGTCAGCTCTTGAGCACCTGAGTGGTCGATAAGCTCACAGGCGCAGCACGCTCCCTGCTGGGGTGCTGACGTCCGCTCTGGTCTAAGTGTTCTGATGGACGCCATATTTTGCCTGCTGCGGTGTTGGCGCCAGCTCTGTCACCGCGAACGGCTCGGGCGTTGACACATGCCGCACGTTACCTTCTCGAGCGCCGGCAGTAGCTGCGGCTCGCTGCAGCGCTTCTGCTCGAACACGAGTGCCGAGAGCAGGGCGGCGATCTCGGCCGGCTCGCGCCGCGTCAGCACGTCGTGGAACACCAACTCCGTCACGAGCAGCTCGCGGTATCCCATCTCGCAGCCCACCCGGCCCTTCATCTTCACTGTGAAACAGCGGGGCGCAGAGCGTCAGAGGACGCTCCGCGGCCCGCCCCAGCGCAGCGCCGCAGCTCAGATCAGCGGCTTTTCAGACAGGACTTCAGCCACGATCGAGCCCGTATAGCTTGTGCAGAGTGATCGATGACGATCAGCTCAGCAAGAGCCTCACCAACTCGGTCCCAGGCTATTCTCCGCACTTGGCGTTTCACGAAACATTCGTTCAGATCAATATCGCGTTGGCGCGCGCAATGGCGCAGGGGAAAAGCGTACCAAAACGCTGACTGACATCATGAAAATGAAAATTATTTCACAGCGCCGCAGAGGCATTCAGCAGAACAAAACGTAGGACATATAAACATCGGGGCGCAGTGAACACAAAACTGCATATGGCAAGTCATGAAAGATCCCGGGCCGCTGACGCTCTTCCTTGACACACGCGATCGACGGATCTGCCACACGGTGTCATTTACTTATTTACCGACACATCAATTACGGCTGGCTTTTAGCACCAAGTTTGCCATCAATAGTTATATGTAAGAATAACATAATGAAAATGCAAGAAGCACTCGCTAGTGTAGTTTCAAAATCGGAGGACAGAGGGGAACTGTGTGGAATATCCAAAAAGAGCATTCCATAACACACAGATAGGAGACAATCTCAGAAAGATTGGTGCCGAAACAAATTTGAAGTTAAGCATTCTCGGGAAGCGTGGGTCCTATCGCGCCCTCTTCCTATATCTGCGTACAACACTCTGTCGGAACATTAACAGCCAGCAACATCACGCATCAGTCATGACAGCAAAGACGGGAACAGTACAGGCACTGTTTTCCTGCGCATTTTCGAAAGCATCAAAATGGAACGATTTACAAATCGCTACAAACGAATCACAGCCCAAGTATAAAATTTTGTGTTCCTGAAAGACAAAACGTCCCCTGCATCATCGACTTAGGTAAATGTGCTCTAGAGCATTCTCAGCAGCTGGAGCCACCTGCCCCCTCCCCCTCCCCCCGGCCTCCTCAGACCGCACGGGCAGGCATGCGACGGCCACTTACCGACGTTGTTCTTGTCGACGTAGCTGAGGTGGCGGAGCACGTTAACGCGCAGCTGGTACTCGGGGCGCAGCCGGAGCGAGGCATCCGACAGGCGGAACTGCAGGTCGGCGATCTCGTCCTGCACCGCGCGGTACGCGCTCACCGCCTCCAGCTGCCGGTACACACACACACACACACACACACCGGTCAGCGCTCGCGCTCCGGCGGCCAGCCCGGCGTCACACAGAGACGTTCGCAGAGCACATCAGGGCGCCGTCGGCAGTGTAACCACCGTTAGTACGGGCGAGCCAGCTGACAAACGAAACATCGCCACAGCTCAGTCAGCTTCCAGGCTGGAGCCGGCAACACGGCTCGGGGTATACACAGTTGGCTGTGTGGTTGTGGACCGCGTACCCACGCACGCACGCACGCAAGCACACAAGCACGCACGCACGCACCGGCTTGTCAGGCACAAACACAATAAGATCGCGCTCTCATAGCTCATGTACTTCACAATTTGCCTCGACCCCAACGATATAACCAATAATAACTCCTTTAAATATTGTCCTAAGGTCCTTGGATATTGTCATTACAAGATATATGAGAACGACGACCACCAAATTACGCTAAAACCTACATAGGGACACACAGAACACGCACCAGACACACGTTCTCACAGGTTAATGAAGATTCGCCAGAACAACTTACACATGAATGGCTGGAGATTATTCATGCCTGACTCACAGTCTCGGGAAACAGTCGGCTCTAGACACACACCAACTGCATCGACTCACCCACCGTCTCGGGGAACAGCCGGTTTTAGACATACTCCAACTGCACTGACTCACAGTCTCGGGAACAGCTGGCTTTAGGCATACTCCAACTGCCATGACTCGCTCACCGTCTCGGGGAACAGCGGGCTCTGGATGCATTCGAACTCCAGCAGACGCTGCCGGAGCCGCTCCAGACTGGCTAAGTCGTCCGCCAGCTCGATCTGGTTGACGTGCAGCTGGCGGGCCGCGACGCCGGCGGCCGCCGCCAGCTCCCGGATGGCGCGCGCGCACGACTCGGACGGCGGGTTGTCGGCGAACCGCGGCAGCTGCCGCCTCTTGATGTCGTCCACGACCTTGGAGGCCTCCACTGCGGGCGTCGCAACCAAATAACTCAGTAAGCTCTGTAATAATCATACACCGTAACACAGGTGAGAATGGGATGGCAGCGAGCAGAGGCACGACCGACTCTACGATCAGGACTGCCGAGGGGCCGGATCGGAGCCGCCGCACCCGGCCGCAGGTCCGACGCGGGTCGGCGCGGCGGCCGCCTCACCTTTGACCGTCTTGGTCAGCAGCTGGTCGACGTCTGCCCGGGTCACCGTGTGCAGGCCGTAGGTGGCCGGGCCCACCGGCTCCAGCAGCTGGTCCGAGACGGCTTGGCGCATGCGCCAGGCGACCGGAGACGTGTCGTCGGGCCGCACGCCGCCCTCACACGCCAGCACTGAGAACGTGTGGCCGGCTGACCGCTGGAACTGCGGCCGGCCAGGGTCGGCCCGGGTCAGCTGGGTCTGCCAGGGTGGCCACGGTCCGGGCCGGCCCGCGAAGACCGAACCCACGTACTGCACACCGTCCTCACAGGGGAAAAGCGGGGGGGGGGGGGGGGGTGGATATAACACCCCTGCCCGAGGAATGTACGCATGCCAAGTGACGGCCACGGGCACGACGTAAGTCCCCTAACAGTCACACTTCAGAGGGCAGCGCAGGGCTGACAGCTCGCTCAAGCTCGTTGAAACATAACACTGTACGGCGTGTACATCTCCAGAAACGACACTTACCCCTTTCAGTTTTCTATTCGTGGCTTGACCATGGGCAGGTCCTCTTTCTGCCACTGATTGACGTCAGCTTTGAATCGGGCCCTTCTGTGACCCGACCCTTTAGTGACGTATCACCCTAACGCCAAATCGCCCAATGACGCACACGTAACAACCCATTTCCCATTTCCATCAGTCCGCGCCCTGTATCTGCCGGGCTGATCAGACACAGCACCAGTGCGGCGCTGGAGCCCGCCCGCGGCCGGCCGCCCGACACAGCACCAGTGCGGCGCTGGAGCCCGCGCCGCGGCCGGCCGCCAGACACAGCACCAGTGCGGCGCTGGAGCCCGCCCGCGGCCGGCCGCCCGACACAGCACCAGTGCGGCGCTGGAGCCCGCACCGCGGCCGGCGCCCGACACAGCACCAGTGGCGCCGGAGCCCGCACCGCGGCCGGCCGCCAGACACGCACCAGTGCGGCGCTGGAGCCCGCACCGCGGCCGGCCGCCAGACACACCAGTGCGGCGCTGGAGCCCGCACCGCGGCTGGCCGCCAGACACGGCACCAGTGCGGCGCTGGAGCCCGCACCGCGGCTGGCCGCCAGACACGGCACCAGTGCGGCGCTGGAGCCCGCACCGCGGCCGGCCGCCAGACACAGCACCAGTGCGGCGCCGGAGCCCGCACCGCGGCTGGCCGCCCGACACGCCGGCGGCCGCCCGGTCCGCAGCCACCTGAAGCACGACGCCGATCCGGCGGGACAGCGTGTCCGTGGAGAAGACCACCAGCTGGCCGACGCTCTCCAACGCCTTGACGCCGGCATTCGTGGCGTACAGCCGCTCCTGACGGGATGAGGCATGCGCGAGTCAGCGGCGGAGGACGGCCTCCTCCTGCCTGCCACTCGGCATGGCGCCACGGCACTGGCAGACACCAGACGCGGCTCGAAACAGCCACGGCTCCTGAACCTTACGGTGGGTTCAACTATAAAAAAACGACTTGAAACAATCACTGCAATGTGCAAGATAGTGTTGGAAAAATCAACGCTTCCTGGTATCATGTACAGAGTTTCAGAACATTTTGCACTCCAGGATTATGACTGGGCAAAATGAAATATTTCGTACTCCACCATGGCGTAACAAAGGAAAAACTCCCTTTTCCTTTCTGTTTCAGGACAAAATGAAACTAGAAGGTACAGCGGATTGGGACGTGCTGCTTAAATCATGAGCCATGTATCGATATTTGCAAGAGCACAAATCGTGCACCGATCAGACTTGAATGCCCAATAGCAAGCAGCCTGTGTTGCCACCTAGCTGTACCACAAATCATGATTGGAAATGTGAAAAATAAAAGGGATGAATTTTGAATGAAACCATCTTTGAACAATACCGAGAAATGAGAGACCAGAAACAGAATCGCACCGGTCCGTAGATTAGTAAAGCTCTCAGTTCCTATGCCCTACGCGGACCAACTCAAAATCAAACATGATCTAACCTACCATTAACTACGAACCGCATCAACTGCCTAGGATGCAACGAACGGTGACAAGCACCACACACCCAAGCACCTACCACGGACGGCCACTTACTCACGCTCCATCACTCTGTCATGACGATGCAAATGTGAGAATCACCCACAATTCTGCGTCGGAAACGTCTTAACTATTCAGTGGCTTGCGCCCGCCTCCCAGCTCATGTTGAACGTTGAACATAGCAAAACTCTCCGATTGGTTGAAATGACTCGCCTCCTCCTGACTGATTTGTCAAGACCATAAATATTATGCTCGCGCTCAGGCCTTAAAACATATTTGTGAACATTCCGAAGGAAGCTGCATAGAGATGGTATCACAATTGCGAAGGAATTATTTGTAGCCGTCCGGAACCGCCCTGTGGTTGGACTTCTGGCCCATTCTCGGTATCCGGAGTACGACAATGTAAAGACAGCTAACAGGACAGCTACAGGGAGTGAAACGACATTAAATTTGTCATTTAAAGGTATGAAATTAAAGCTGGTAATTCAAGCTTTCTAAAAAATCCCTTTCAGACGAAAAACGTTGCTTTAAATAGCCAAAAAACTGTTCGGAGACAGCCATCTCACTCCGGCAAAAACTTCAGGGAGACTAGAGTGACATGAGCCCATTCATTTGGTCTGACAAATTGAGGAAGGAGCGGAATTAATTATGGCAAAAACGTCCGTAACTTGGAACAAAAGCCATCATATCTCGCAATGTCGGTTAAGGCGCATACAAAATCCATCAATACATTTTATTATCCACTGGAGTCAGCGGAGTGACTGAATCCGATTCCTTTTGGCCGGCACGGACAGGTCTGTCAGACATTGTACTTGCGTTGGCTCGGTAAATAAGTTACGAGTGCTGTCTGTCTCTATTGTTCGGCTGGGACATACAGGGCCTCGTGTGTTGTCCGGGAGTTGGAAGGTCGAGGGCATGCAGGTTTTGCCGTTTTTAAAGCCCGTTACTAGGTGGAGCGTAAGTGGCGTGACAGTGGTGGAGCGTGAGTAGCGTGACAGTGGTGGAGCGTGAGTAGGTCGCCATCTGTGGCACACTCATTGGCATTCTTTTGTTTCATTCTTCACTGGTCAGATTCAAACTTATTTTCCGAAACTGCGCCGCCCACTAGGCGACTTGTTGGTGACTTCGGGCGAATTGCATAAGAAGCTTAATTTTTTACAACAATACATTGGGAGAAAACAACTTGCCTAGATCCATAGTAGAATAAGTTTCTTCACACACACACACACACACACGCGCACGCGCACGCGCACTCCTCTCTCTCTCTCCCTCTCCCTCTCCCTCTCCCTCTCCCTCTCCCTCTCCCTCTCCTCTCCCTCTCCTCTCCCTCTCTCTCTCTCTCTCTCTCTCCTCTCTCTCTCTCTCTCTCTCTCTCTCTCTCTCTCTCTCTATCTCTCTCTCTCTCTCTCTCTCTCTCTCTCTCTCTCTCCTTCCAACACTGATGTGCATTGCTACCTACAAAAAGCCAGTTACGTAAGACCACAACAGCGTATAGCGTAATTCCAGACGCAACCGGCATAGCATAGCCTAGACCCTTGCCAGGGGCTAGGTTGCGAGGTTTTGAGCAGGCGGCGACCGGCGGCCTGGCGGTCCGCCGCGCGAGGGCGTCTCTCACCCGGACACCGTCGCGCATCTGGAGGTAGTCGCGGCAGGCGGTGAAGAACGGGTCGATGTCGGCACATGACCTGTCCACCGACGGCCGCTGTTGCTCCACGCTCGCCTGCAGCCTGCAGAGGCCCGGTCAGGGGTCAGGTGGCGGCAAACGACCCGGCGACGGCCGGCTGCCACCGCTGCTGCCGCTCTGCTCGCAATGGACGACGAGAAGGCGCAGCTGGCGGCGGGCTCACTCATGACCGCGAGCTCGGCTGTGGGCCGGACCCAGGCCACTCGCCTGGCGACCCGTCCCTCAGCTGTGGGCCGGACCCAGGCCGCTCGCCTGGCGACCCGTCCCTCAGCTGTGGGCCGGACCCAGGCCAATCGTCTGGCGGTCCGTCCCTCCGCGCTACATGCAGCGTCTAACTATGATCACAACAAACAGGTTGGATGCATCGTGAAATAGCGGGATGTAATATTCACTCTTCGTACAGTGGACTTTTTCTGAGGGAACGCAACTGCTTGCCATGCTGGCGCCGACTGCACAGGCTGATGAGACAGGTCTGAGCGAGCAGACATGGCCGCTACATGAGTCCTCCTCTACGGCGCTTCAGAACAGGGTAAGGTCGAAAAAGTTAAGGAAAGGGAAAAGCGGCAAAACGAAAGCAAGTATGCAATGGATCATTCGCCGTTGGCATGTTGGGTTGCCTGGCTCGGAGTCGGGCACAGAACTATAACCATTCACAACAGTCCAGTATACGGCAAAATACGCCATACACCAACATGTCACAATCTAGCAAGCCAGAAAAAATGCATTTAACTTGTCTTTGAATTCGGTTAACATTGAGGTGAAAAACATGGCAACAAACCCAGCTGGAATGAGAAATCCTTACCAAGAAGATTTGGTAAAGACGCCTATACACAATACAAATTATGAGGCATCGGCTTTACGGGTTAATCACGAGATTCGCATAGAAGTAAACAGATGACCTTAACAGGCCAGAAAACCAAGCAGGCGTTAAGTCACTTGAAGTAAGAAACACGTACACGAGCATTCAGCTGATGAGCTCGCCATGTAAATCATGTATAATTTCATCTCGTATCATATTTCTCAACGAAACACCTGGGTGGTTGCAGGTACTTCACAAAATAAGCGGCACTCAAGTCGCAAGAAAATTCTGATAACGGAAAAATATAGGCTCTATCAATCCTAATCTGCTGGACATTCTCCAGTACAGGGACGCACCTAGACAGCCGCTGTTCATTTTCAGCCCGTGTCTTTTGACCGTCGACCTCGGCGAAGCTACTCTTCATGATGTCCTCGATTCGCAGCTGCTGAATACGCAAAAGGTTCAATATCATGCTGTAGGTGAGATGGAACTGCGACACCAGCTGTGTTGGCTTTCCTGTCGACAAAGCAAGACCGTCCGAAGTGATAACATAACATACAGCGAACTGGAAACATGAAACTCTGTATATAGTCCCTGGCCACCCCTACAAGTAACAGTATCACAACAGAGATTGTGTCCAGTGCCAGGGACTCCGCCGTCTTAAGCCCACGCTGGCGGACATGATCAGCAGCATGGTTCGTGATCACTCGCTCAGCCACCGGTAGATCGGTCGGCGGCTGGAGTTTCTACCTGCGTAACATGTTGCAGGACATACACATGAGCGGACGAACCGAATGGTAGGTTCCCACGTTGGCATACGGCCAAAAGACTGTCATAGTAATCCATCCCCCGATCCGCTAGCAGCCATGCCAGCCCTGCACTCGTGGTCGGCCGCGAACACCCACTAAAACTGGAGCGTGCACCCGCTCCGAAACCGCCGAAGCAACGAGTCGCGGTACTCAATAACCGCTCAACGGGCCCCCGGACATGAGGGGACGTTCCACCCCAGCTGCAGAGAAAGCCAAACTGACCCAGCATCATGCCCTGTAGCTCAGAGCTCTCGGGCACTTCGTGCTTGCACATGATGATGACGGTGCCGGTGGGGTCGAGACCCCGCCGGCCTGCTCGGCCCGCCATCTGGATGTATTCGCCTGAAACAAAGGAAGGACTTGCGGCCAACCGACGGACGACTGCTGCCTCCACGAGACACACGATCCGGGAGATATTCCGCACAGTGCTTACAAAGTGAGCGACGTCGGCCTGGAGTAATCAAATGTTACCAAAGCAGCGCCAGTTGATGTCCCACGTAAACTTGATGCACTGCAGGCATCTTGACGAGGAACGAGTGCATTTCACACCTTTGAACGATTGCCGGTGTACGCAGTTTTTTTTTGCGCACGAGCAGTCTTGAAGCTCCGTCATGAGCCGTTGGAAAAAGGCACATAATTTCAAATTAAGTGTGACACGACCAGTGCCAAACGGAAGGAAAATGGCCGGAAGATATCATTAAATATTTCAAGTGCAAGTGACGCTGGACTGATAAAGGGTAACATGAAAAACGTAATACGTACCTAAGGGTAATCAAACTGGAGGCCAAGACATTTTGCCCTCGCGTTTTAAGTCACACCCAAGGTAAAAATGTTCACTTGAATAACCTTAAGCCAACAATAAAGCTGCAATCTATAAGCCACTACAAGTTCTTTAAGACAATGACCAAACAATTTGTGTAAGAGGCATAACAAAGATTACCGAGCAATTAGCTCGCACACCTCTTTCCTAAGAGAGCGCCCAGCATGACCGGAATAGAACCAAGACAAAAGACCGCATACCCCATGAGCAGTGTACCGCAGTGTCCCGCGTAGTCACGCCTACGACAAATTCAGCGGACGAAAACGTCGGTAGAGCGAGATCCGGTGGATTTTGGTAGCCTCTATAGCTCCGTGTAGTCCTGCCCACGATAAATTCAGCGGACGCATAACGTCCGTAGAGCGAGATCCGGTGGATTTTGGTGGACTCCATAGCTCCATGTAGTCCCGCCTACGACAAATTCAGCGGCAGCATAACGTCGGTAGAGCGAGATCCGGTGGATTTTGGTGGCCTCTACAGCTCAGTGTAGTCCCGCGCACGACAAACTCAGCGGACGCATAACGCCGGTAGAGCGAGATCCGGTGGATTTTGGTAGCCTCTGTAGCTTGGGGCTTCGTACGCCTGTAAGATGAGAGCAAACAGAGAACGCCGGGGTAATTGAGCTATTAGAGGCTCTGTACCCAAATGCACTCCTGAGCATCTGTCGCCGCCGCCCCAGCTCCAGGAGTCCGGCTGGGCCTGCCACCCACCTGGTAAAAGGGTGCGGAACCCTTTGCCGTCGTGTTTGCGGATGGAGTCGAAGATCACAGTGCGGGCTGGCATGTTCACCCCCATGGCGAACGTCTCCGTGGCAAAGAGAAGCTGCAGTGTGGGACAAACCACGCTAGACGGTCACCCGGAGGGAACAAACATCATGGCTCAAAAGGGCATACAATGAGCTGTGAAACGTGGTGAAGACAATATGCTGGTGGCAAATTTGTGCTGAAAAACGAAGCGGTCCTTAAGGTGACTTCTAGAATACAGGGTACGTGAAAACGAACATATGCCAGTGGCGAACATGATTTGGCACAAACTAACAGCCGTGGCCCGCTTACAGATGAGATCCAAATCGCACACCCAACCATGCGCCTCAAAACAAAATCAATTTCCTCCGCGCGCACTATCGCGCAGAGGGTGTGCATCGGCGCGGTTCAGATGCAATCTGTTGGGCACGCCCGACACCAGCCCCGGTAGACAGCCTTGAGGGGGCGGACCCCGTGCCCGCCAGTCACCTTGACGAGGCCGCGCTGGAACAGCATCTCAATGACCTCCTTCAGGATGGGCAGAATGCCGCTGTGGTGAACGCCCACGCCGCGCGCCAGCAGCTCCGACATCTGGGTCACCTGCGGCAGCGGACCGTGACACCCAGACAGCCGACAGAGCAGCGCCTGCCCGGCTGAGCGTCGCGGCTCGCCCCCCCCCCCCCCCTGCCTCCCAGCAGACCGTGCCACCCAGACGGCCCGACAGAGCACCCCCTCCCGCCTCCCAGCGGACCGTGCACCCAGAGAGCCGACAGAGCACCCCCCCTCCCGCCTCCCAGTGGACCGTGTCACCCAGACCTGACAGAGCACCCCCCCCCCCCCTCCCGCCTCCCAGTGGACCGTGTCACCCAGACAGCTGACAGAGCACCCCCCTCCCGCCTCCCGGCGGACCGTGCCACCCAGACAGCCGACAGAGCACCCCCCTCCCGCCTCCCAGGGGACCGTGTCACCCAGACAGCTGACAGAGCGGCGCACGCCCGGCTGTGGACCGCTCCTCTCCGCCTCCCCCCCCCCTCCCCACCACCACCCTTCCAGCGGACCGCGTTACCCAAATAGCCCGGCTGAGCGCCACCACAAGCTCCCTGAGACGGTACACGGCCCCCCGGCTGCTGCTGAGTGGTGTTTGAACGACGGGCGGGCATACCGGTGGCGGCGGGCTGGATGCACCGACAAGACGCATTGCAAGCCGACGACCGTTTTCCAGCGGTTCGGTCGATGCCGTTCTGGGACAGATTTGCATAACAAACCGTTCGCATATCACTCGGACAGATGCTGAGCAGAGCGGCGTGCCCGCCACTAACCTGCGGCAGCTTCTGATCGGACAGATGCTGAACTGGGCGGCGTGCCCGCCACTAACCTGCGGCAGCTTCTGATCGGGTGCTGTCAGCCGCTGCAGGCAGCGATTGAAGAAGTAGCGGATCTCGTTCTTCTCGCGCTCGGTGGTCAGCGCCAGCGAGGTGAGTGAGGCGGCGTTAGAGTCGCAGCGCGCGCGCGAGAACGTGAAGGCCACCACTGGCAGCAGCTCGCGGCGGCGCAGGTGCTCCACCAGACCGATCCACGTGTTACGTTCCTGCTGCGGCCCGCCGCCATGGCCGCCTCCGTGGCCTCCGTGGCCGCCGTGGCCGCCCCTGCCGCCGCCACCAGCGCCGCGGGCCCCGCGACTGTCCCTAGCGCTCGTGCCGCCCTTCTTTATAGCGCCCTTCTTCGCCTCCATCGCTTGCAGGTACCTGAAAACGGGTTCGCGTAGTCAGATACACCGGCTTGCGGTCTTTTTTAAATGGTTTAATTACCCAATTTTCGGTTATGCAAAGCTACTCACACCCGGACATGGTACATCCTGTCTCCAGCCAGCCATGCCAAAAGTCCTGCCGTGACAAAAAAACTAATTTATTCCGAAAATATCACGCATGCACCGGTGGCCAGGGATTGTGCGTTACCAACCACTACATAAGCACGGTAAGAAGCAGCTGGCGGTACTGAACTCCGCAGCACCGTAGACCAGTGGCAACGCCGCTGGAGGCTTGCCAATATCAAGCGCTTACCCTGGCGTGATGAACTGGCCCCGTGAGTCCAGCACGAGGAACCTGTCGTCCCTCGACTTGCCGCCCTGGCCCGTGTAGAGGAAATGCTCCAGGGGCACGGGCCGCTTTGCAGTGCTTATCACCCGCAGCTTCCGTTTCTGTCGATCAGGCGGAGCGTGTCCGATCAGACGGAACGTGCCCGATCAGGCGGAGCGTGTCCGATCACACGGAGCGTGTCCGATCAGGCGGAGCGTGTCTGATCAGACGGAGCGCGCCCGGTCAGAGGGAGCGCGTCCGATCAGATGGGACGTGCGCGATCCGACGGGACGTGTCCGATCCGACGGGACGTGTCCGATCCGACGGGACGTGTCCGATCCGACGGGATGTGTCCGATCCGACGGGACGTGTCCGATCCGACGGGACGTGTCCGATCCGACGGGACGTGTCCGATCCGACGGGACGTGTCCGATCCGACGGGACGTGTCCGATCCGACGGGACGTGATCAGCCCCGACGGCAGATCGGAGGGCCAGCTCCGTCTCAAAAGCGAATGGCACTGGTCGTGGGTTGCGGACTGAACATGGCGTATGTTCCGGCGGACTCGTGCTTGACTACACTTCAGCGGAATCTATTTCAAGTCTGACAACGCATGAAGTTGATTCCAATTCTCACTACCATCAGCTCAACGCAACTTGGTGACTCCAATGCCGACCTCTGACTTAAGTCCAGCCCTGATCAGTCACCGTAAAGTCAATTTCAATGGCAACCCTTTAGAAGACACTTGGCTCCATGACCTTTACTGAACATTAAATGGGACATTTAGCTGATACCGGTACAGCTACGTATGACTGTGTTCCACCTCGCGCCCATGTCAGCTGTCAGCTGTCAAACATAAGCCTGTGTTCAAGACGCGCTATTTGCCGTTGAAGGTCACCAGGCTATGTCGTGATACTGGCGGCAGTTACATGCGATCGAAGCGCTGCTCTCTTAGCCGTGCAGCACGCAGTCGACATCCGTTGGCGGGGTTCTGCTCGTCCTATCCGAAATCTTAAGACTCTGGCCTGCTATTTCCGGGTTTTCACGTGGCATTTGTCCCACAGTCTCAGGCCCTCCTGTGGACACATATGTGGGCCGTCCCGTTTCCCACAGGCCCCGCCCTTAACACGCCTGACAGAGGCTGACTGACTGACTGACTGACTGACTGACTGGACTGACTGAACCGGTTAGACCGATAGGACTGACTGGCTAGCTATCACCCACGAGCTCGGACCCAGTCGTGTACCACACCAGGGGTGGGATGGCCCAGCCGCGTGCCCCCCGGCCGCCTTACCTTGATGTGTCCGATCCAGTCGGCGAACTCTAGCGCGTTCGGAACGGTGGCTGACAGCAGCACAATGCCCACCGTGTCGGGCAGCAGGATCAGCGACTCCTCCCACACCACACCACGCTGTGAAAACAGGTCCGCGGTCACGGCACAGCAGGCTCAATAACACACTACACCATCTTGTAAACACAGGTCAGCAGTCAGCTGGTGAAATAGCTGTCACAGCTCAGTCACAGGAGTGCGCGTCTGTGCGAGGCCGGGCCCTGCATTACCTCCGGGTCGTTGATGTAATGCACTTCGTCGAAGATGACCCACTCGAGGTCTCGGATCAGGTCGCTGCCGTTGTAGAGCATGGAACGCAGAATCTCGGTGGTGCAGATCAGACAGGAGGCCTCCTTGTTGATCTGGATGTCGCCCGTCAGCAGGCCCACGTCGTTGAAGGTGGTCTTGAAGTCGCGGAACTTCTGGTTGGACAGCGCCTTGATGGGCGAGGTGTACACCGTCCTGGAACGGGGATCCGGTCACAGCTGATCCACGAAGTTGAGCGCTGGTGCCCCCTGTTCGTCCACCCGTGATTCTCGGATTGCAGCGATGTGTGTGGCCAAAAGACAGACGACATTTGGGGTCATACAAAGGCTCATTTGTGACGTCAAAACAACGTTTATTCATTGGTCACTTTGTTCCCAGATGGGAACGTGTTACAAGTTAGGAGCATCATATAATGCTGCAGATATTGTGCAATCTGTACATTCGATCATAACATTTTGCTTGTGAACACCCGTTCAATATGTAGTTGCGCACTGCCGCTGCACGACACAAGTGCAGAGACATTGTACACATCCAATTCAATGTATAACCCAAACCTATGCAAGTTTGACAGGATTATTCCCGTTTTAGGGCGCGCCGACGGTGGGTTACGTGGCACCCATATGGTTGAAACGAGCTGTGTTTTGTCTGTTAGTCCCACATGATGTTTTAACAGCTCACAAAGCCATTGGAAGCAGCGTTTCCAACCGATCCAGGACGTCACACACGTCCCGCCGCCCAATCCTGCGCAGGCAGCCCACACCGCCCCATCGGCCCCTGCCAGCTTACTTGGTGCCGTTTCTCCTGGACATGGCGATGGCGTACTCGGCCACGGTCGTCTTGCCGGCGGACGTGTGGGCGGCCACGAACACGCTCTCGGCCCGCTCCAGGTGCAGCACGGCCTGCCGACGGCGGGGCGTCACGGCTGAGGGTAGGCGGCGGCCGCTGCCCCCAGGCCGGTTGACACCCACACGCGGGGGACGCTGGCACAGTGGCCATACGGACCACAGTACAGCCGCCGACGTCACCGCTCGCCCAAAGCTCTCAGACCAGAATACAGCCAGGCACGTCCCGGCGCGTCAGCTTAGAGCCGCTCTAAACAGAACAAAACACAGCACACCATACTGCATTAACCTCCCAGCAGCATACACACAGCTGATGTCTTAACCTAAATTTGGTGTCTCTATCGCATGTGGTCTGTCCTTCACACAACAATAGGCGAAATTCCGTGAGGAAGATTATTACTTCGGATTGGCGTAGCGGTAGGTGTAGACGTAAATGACCGGTAGGGGACACACACCAAGCGTGAGAAAAGTACGGTCCGCTCATACGCTATGGTATGGTGAGACATTATTGGTAACACAAATTTTGTAGATAAGCCTCGCGCAGGCTGCTGGGAAGCGAAAATTACACCGATGAAGCAATGATAGGACGAATTGTGTAAGCCAATGACTAACTCCTGAGAGATTCCGATGTGTTAGCTCACGAGCTTACAAATACGTGTACATAACAAGTGCATCAACATTGAAAATAAAAAAAGCATTTCATTTGGCGTGCAAGGATGTCAAGTCAAAGACTGCGGATAGTTACTGACACTGGTGAAGCTGCAATGCAGCTACCGGAGCATGCAGCTGCGGCTGTGCATGTGGCTGTGCATGCCGAAGCAGCGCCAGCCAGCACCTCGCACCACGTGATCACCTGCTTTTGGAAAGTGTCTAGCTCGTAAGGAAACTTGTGAGCCATGTTGGGCACCAGCCGGTGGAAGTCGTCGATGGGTCGGCTGATGTCCACTTCCTCGGCCCACTTGGTAGACCTGAGGCGGCGGCCGGGCCGGGCGGCCTCCGTGGTGCCCAGCACCGGCACCACCGCCGGCTGGGGGCACGGCATCGGCTCGGACATCACGAGGCCGCGCGGCCAGCCGGTCGGAATGGCTCGGACCGCGCCCGTTGACCAACACGGCAGACGGCGGTTCAGTAGAGCCCACCGGACAAGCACAATACACAGAGTCCAGTTTCAAAGCTTACTTACTAGGTCCATACGCCGTGCGTCCCCGGCCCATGTCTACAATCAGTACGGCGCCCAGCGCGTCATCACAATACGCGGTTCTCCTACCACAACATCATTTACGTCGCTGCCTCCCACCGCAAGACTCAAAATAACCAGCGCCGTCGCCGTGCCCCTAGGTCGACATCGCCCATCAGCGAGACGTGTGGTTGGCAGCTGGTTCTGACCGTGAGCGCGGCCTCCAGCTCGGTCTGCTGCTGCTGGTCGGCGGGGCTCGGGCCGGACTGCGGCGGCTCGAGCGACGGCTCCTCGGCGGCCGAGTCGCGCTGCCACACCCAGTCGTAGCCGAGCTCGGGCACCAGCGGCTCGCCGGCGGTCGGGTCGGTGGCCGGCGCCCAGTCAGGCTCGGCCAACTCCAGGCGCAGACCGTCCGAGAGGCCCGGTGCCAGCGTCAGGTACTCTGCCGACGCCGGCAGTGCTGTCAGTCAGGCGCCGGCAGTGCCGACAGTCAGGCGTCGACAGCGCCGTCAGTCAGGCGCCGGCAGCGCTGTCAGTCAGGCGCCGGCAGTGCCGTCAGGCAGGCGCCGGCACGCCGTCAGTCAGACGCCGGCAGTGCCGTCAGTCAGGCGCCGGCAATGCCGTCAGTCAGGCGCCGGCAGTGCCGTCAGTCAGGCGCCGGCAGTGCCGTCAGTCAGGCGCCGACAGTGCTGTCAGTCAGGTGCCGGCAGTGCCGTCAGTCAGGCGCCGGCACGCCGTCAGTCAGGCGCCGCAGTGCCATCAGTCAGGCGCCGGCACGCCGTCAGTCAGGCGCCGGCAGCGCTGTCAGTCAGGCGCCGGCAGTGCCGTCAGTCAGGCGCCGGCAGTGCCGGCAGTCAGGCGTCGGCAGCGCTGTCAGTCAGGCGCCGGCAGTGCCGTCAGGCAGGCGCCGGCAGTGCTGTCAGTCAGGCGTCGGCAGCGCTGTCAGTCAGGCGTCGGCAGTGCCGTCAGCCAGGCGCCGGCAGTGCTGGCAGTCAGGCGTCGGCAGCGCTGTCAGTCAGGCGCCGGCAGTGCTGTCAGTCAGGCTTCGGCAGCGCTATCAGTCAGGCGTCGGAAGCACTGTCAGCCAGGCGTCGGCAACGCTGTCAGTCAGGCGCCGGCAGCGCCGTCAGTCAGGTGCCGGCAGTGCCGTCAGTCAGACGCCGGCAGTGCCGGCAGTCAGGCGTCGGCAGCGCTGTCAGTCAGGCGCCGGCGGTGCTGTCAGTCAAGTGCCGGCAGTGCCGGCAGTCAGGCGCCGCCAGTCCCGTCAGTTAAGCGCAGGCAGCCAGCAAAAGCTGTGGTCTAAGTCCGGTCTGCCACACCGCAGCCCGATGGCTACATGATCTGAGAGCTCTTGAGATGGGAGTAGTGCAATCTCAACTGACTCAAACCAGTCTTAAAGCTGTTTTCACGCAACCGGCAGAATGCAGCATTTGAGGGATCAGCTGTTGTACTCTCTCCCTGTGAAGTGTGATGGAGATCATCACTCCGACAACCATTGTGAGCAACGGCCGTGCGAGAGCCAGTGAGGACCACCGGCGCCGCTGCGGCAGTTCCGTCTCACCGCTGGGGTCGAGCTCTTCCAGCTCGGGCTCGGCCGGCGGCGGCGGCGCCATGCCACCCGGCCAGAATGGGAAATTGGCCACGTCGCCCCGCACGTCCTGTTCGGCCGGGCCCGGCGCACGTCGCAGTGAGAACGAGTTGCGCGCCGTGCGGCCCAGCTCGGCGGGGTCCACGGGCACCTCAGTGAACGCGCGGATCTCGCCTGTGGTCGGGTCACGGTCCACCTGCGCGGACCAGGGCATGTTACCACCTCAATGAGTGCCTGGACCCACCCTGTTCTTTGGTCACCATCCACTTGTGCAGTTCCAGGGTCACATCTCTACTAAGCTGTCACAATGGTGACACAAATCATCTGTAACACCAACTGCCACAGAGCAAACAAGAGCTCCAGTGTTCTTGCAAACTTCAGAGCTAAATGCACCTGAGAGAGAGCTGGCCTACCTGTAGGGTGGTGGAGACAGGGCTCCGCTCAACTGCCAGCAGCTCAGTGAAGTCGGTCGCTGGCTCCACATACTCTTGACAGTACCTGCTCACACAGAATCAAGGCTAACAATCCAAACAGGCACAGTGTATGTGTTAGCATTGGCAGTAGTGTCACAAATACATGCTGGGAAACAAAGACCATGACAATAACACTGCTTGAAGGGAGAGAAATGCTGAGCTGAATGCTGAATGCTCATTCCTTTGCAGGAATGAGCTTTAGCACAAAGTTTGTTATTGTAATTTTTCATTGAAAATGTAGATTATTCTGATCTCAGAGACTAATGTTTCAGCCCCATACATTTAAAACAGAGAATATATTGCTTCCCTCACATTTTGAACTCAGCCATAATGATACACACTAAAAGGATGTCACAATGAAAAGTACTTCCAGCTGGTACTGCCAGCATTCAGTGAACATGTGCTAAGGTAACAACTTAGTACATTTTCACACATGAAGGATACAGTGAAGCAGACAAACATGCACATGAAGAGATATATTATCAACCAGGAGAGCATGTCTTAGCTTTCTGCACATGAAACAGAAAGATAATCCCAGATAAGGTCAGTCCCATTAGTCTGTAACAGCTAGATTTTGATTTCAGTTGCAAGACCATACAAACTCTGCATATACAATTGGTTTTCATGTTTAGGTGCTTTTGACAAACAAAGCTCTCCAATCCATATTTCCAATGGCCTAGCCACCTCAATTCAGATAGCCAAAGCTCACCTATAATCATGTATGGGAAGGTTGTCAGGATGCAACAAATAATGATCAATCCGCTCTTCCAGTGCAGAAAATGTTGGAGGAGGCTCAGTTGGCATCTGCAAAGATCGCAAAATACATTCTTTTATGAAAACTTGATCACCTGTTCCAAATCCACCAGCCACATATGTTACGGGCCTGCACAAATGCAAAGTGTTAACATTGCTTTGAATAATTTAGCAGCATCAGCATTCACTATTTTGATTTAATATTTTCACTTCCAAAACCCTTTGTTGGGGCATACCAATTCATCAGTCAAACCATAGAAATGCTGGTAAATACAATGAGCACAAGGTAGTAGCAAACCTTTTTCAGTCACTTCTCAGCTAACCTCTCAAACATCCCCTTGCTAGTTCCCTACACCCTTTCGACTCCATTACAGGTCATTCTGATAATTATTGTTGAATGTGGAGAGCGTGGGAAACAAATATTTAACGAACATTGGGAGAGCCGCGGTGGTAGAGGATAATGCAGACTTCCACACTACAATTATTCATGGAAATAATTTACTTCACTCCCTTTGCGAGTTTATATTCGCGGAACAGCTTCACCTCTACGGAAGTTTCTTCGAGACGTCAGCTGATTGAAACACGTAACACAGGACACCCAACCCTGCTCAAAAATCCGAAAGGTGCTCAGCAAACTAAACGAAACGACAATAACTGCTCGCGCCATTCCTCGAGACAGCAGAGCCATGATCGAATTTGTAAGGAGCCATGAAGGCCGTGACGTTAAAGTGCTGCAAAGGATTTGAACGTTCGTGAAGCCGGCACCACATTCACGTTCAGATTCATGTGGAAAATTAGAAAAATATTCTGGGGTATGCGTTGGTTCGCTTGTTGGGCCTAGAAAACCTTCACCATTTTGGGATCCCAATTCTCATTTGAATGCGAGCCGCTCCTAGGACGCGACAAGTTCGTTCGGTTGGTGGTCAGTGGGGAGCATGAGGAAGCGATTGGGAAACGTGCCTGGAGAAACTCTTGCATGTAATTTACAGAAGAGTGTTATCTACCGGCTGAGTATGATATTGGTATATCCTGTACTACGAAGTCATGGGAAATACTGGTATCCGGGTAATGTGGAGAATGGGATAGGAGTCTCGAGATGTAATGGTTACCGTCAGTCATCAACGGCGGATTAAAGGGCTTCGAGACGCTTGTGTCTTCTCCTATATACCGTTTTTGTTTTCGTTTCAAAGAAGTTCCTACCATCGCCGTTGACAAAACAGGCGGCTTCCAGCGAAGCACGTCAAACCTCGCGCCAATCGGCACGTCATCTGACCCCGAAGCAAAAGGGTTCACTAAACTGCACAAACGGCCGCACAGCAAGGCGGCGCCACTTGCCAGAAGTCCTTGTCGCTGCACCGTCTACCGTCCCTGTTCGGGTGCTATCTACGAAGCACGTAGACGTAACCGCTGTGCATGCGACATTCCCCCCCCCCCCCCTCCCCCGGTGTTTCCCACGAACCTCTCCTGAGCGGGTACTCCAGTCAACGAACACAACAATACATCTTCAAACACAACAGACATATCTGCACCACTTCCTGTGCCCCTGAACCACGATGAATGGATGTGGCTGTTAAGAAATTCTCTGATGCTGTGGAGAATTTCCTCTACGAGTGCTTGTGCTGCCACATCAGGTGGTTGCTACCAAACATGGCGGTCTTGGAGCACGCTTTGCGCTGGGCAATGCTTTGGTGCGCGTCGGTCATCATGTAGTCGCTTTGTTTTCACTGATGTGAGGTGACAATACCTAAGATACATCTTTTAATCGGTCTTTAAGATGATGAACAAAGCAGAGATCGTAACGGTGGCCACTAAGTACAAGGTGATATTTCAAGGCGAGGACTGGCGCGAAGCGCTGGCCAGCAGCGCAAGATCCTCAGACCTTTTCTTTTGGTGCAACAAACCTAAACTAGAAGAAAAAAGGAATGCAAATATTTTCATCTGACGTTTCAGGTCACGGCCCTAAGTGCTGGAATCTTTAACATTTGACAACGCGCACGAGCTTGTGGCTACCTTTCAAACCCTTTGGGCCATTTATGTTTCCAGTCGGACCTTTGAAAATCGGTCTCGGAAGGCCAATTGGGCCCTTATTCGGGCCCCCCCCGGACACTGTCCCCTGGCCGATTCCGGGCCCCTTGCCAACGCAGGATCCCCTGTTGCCGACACTGAACGCCCCTCACTGGCTCTGTGGCACTGGCCAATACTATTGTCCATGCTTGAAAAATAGACCCTCCTTAGCCCAGGTGGTGCCGGCCGGACACAGAGACCCTCATCGATTCAGGCGCCCTAAATCGGCGCGAAGCTGGCTGGTACTTAAGTGTCGGCCCGAAAGCCCGAGGCCCAGGACCCTTAACATGACCGCCGGCCAGCCATTCGGACCCTAAATCGTTGGTCCCGACGGTCCTTCGGGCCTCCTCGGGGCCTCAGGGGGCAGAGGCGTACCCCTATGCTCCCCCTGCCTGCGCCACTGATGATGGTAGCAGTCTTCTAAGCATCCACCATTACGCGAAGGTGATCGCTAAACAATATCGAACTGTGCTGGAACAGAAGCACCACTGGCTATTGTGACGGCAATGCATAGATGTAGCGCGGCAGTAATTCGTGATAGGACCTTCACCACTGTTCAAAATCATTCTGACACTGAGGTACATATCTCCTTTTATCCTCTCGAGTTAGCCATCCAGCGGACGCAACAATCATGGGGAGAGATGCCCCAGCGCAGGCGAGAGGTATCAGCCGAACTGGGCAGGACTCGTTTTCGGTAAGCAAGAGCAATATCCTGTCAGCACAGATGTGGGCTGCGTATCCAAGCAGTGCGCAAAAAACAAAAACAGTGAAGCTGAGGGTTATTCTGCGGCATATGCATGTTTTACAAGACGCAGGGCCTGGAAAGGCAGCCGTACGAGTTTTCCACTGATGCATGGCACGAGAAGTATGCCACAATAGCATGGATTTTTCTACCGCATTGGAGCGGCGCAATCGTCAAGACATACCTCGCTAAGTCAGGAAGACACGCTCACAGGCAAAACCCGCTCACTAACGCAGGCACGCCCTGAGTATTGAGATTACTCAAAATATACGAAAAGGCGCAACCATTAAGGTCTTTCGAAACTGGTATTAAAAGTACGCAGGCACAGTGCCACAAAAATCCAAATGCGAGCAATAACGTCCATAGTTGAATGGAATGCTGACAGCACTATCATATAACAGCAGCATGGCATGTGGTATAGACAGCTAAAGTAATGCTCTAAAGTTGTATCTGAAATTACATTTGTGCCCAGGGTTACTGGTTGAACTAGCTCCATACAAAGTTTGTGCGCGTCTGTATGCATCATCTTCGCACGAGGCAAATGTATGATTACCAAGTCAGTATTCGCACGTGGAGAACTTTTGACGGAGAATATACAATAGGTATTTGGCGAGACTGCTTAGCTTAGATACAGCACAGGTCTTTTTCTTGACTAGCAAGGAGATAATGTAAGCACATCTAGCGATACAACAATCTGGACGTAAGCAATCATGGCTCGGTGAACGGTGTTAGTGCACACTGTTTATTCACCTTAGAAACAAACAGTGCAATGCTCGGAAACGCTGTCTGTCTTCTCGGGTCCCTGGATGGGCTTGCAATAGTCATATCTGTTCCTGAATGTAGGTCTCTGCAAACTGGCTATCCACATCGAGGTATGCACATTCAGATGTATTGAGCACGTTGTCTGCGATAGCGCAAGCCCAGGAGCTTTACATATATCCGAGAAGAGCCAAGGCATTTCCGATGCACGAACTCGTGTCCATTCCAGGAAACGCTTACGCGTCATTGCGCGGTCCATGGCGATGATGACAAGCTTAAAAACGTGCAGGTATATCATAGGTGGTGTAATGCAACGCTCTCACACCACCCACGACGACTGCTACTTAGGAACATGAGAAAAGAGAAATGAGAGGATACATACAGCAAGACATGAGATGAACCCAGCAGATACATTATGAACTAGTTTCGCAGTTTCGGGGTACCAGGTCAGATCATCAGGGGCAGGAATGCCGGGTAAGACCATCACAGGGTAGGTACCAGGTTGGACCATCAGTGCAAAGGGTACCAGATTAGACCATCAGGAGACAGGGGCATCACGTCAGACCATCAGGGGACAGAGGCACCTGGTCAGACCACCAGGAGGCAAGGGTGCCAGGTCAAATCACCGAAGGGCAGGGGTACCAGGTCAGACCACCAGCGACAGGGGCACTGGGCCAAACCACCAGTGGGCAAGGGTACCAGGTCAGAGCGCCAGGGGTGCTAGGTCAGCCCATTAGGGGACAGAAGTGCCATATCAGACGACCAGAGACATGGGCACCAGGTCAGGAATATTTATATGTGACTTTCGGATACCTAGATGTGAACAGACTCTACCCCAGTATATCATCGCGGAAGGTGATTGGGGCGTGTCAATCGGTTCTAGACCAACGCGCATCGCCAAAAAAATTCTGCGGAAAGCGCACTGAAAATTATTGAGTTAGTTTTAAGAAAAACAACCTTAACCTGATATCAGACGTTCGTTTTACGCAAGTTGAAGGCACAGCAATAGGCTCGAAATTGGAAAAATTCAAGGTGCGTATTTGGGAGCATGGGAAACAGAACTTGATTAGAAGTCGGACCTAAAAACTCTCGTTCACCTAAGGTATATCAATGACATTTTTGAAGCATGACTGCTTGGTCAGAAAACATTAAGACATTGTCATAGCGTTGCTGACAGCATACACCAAAAAATTGAAGTCGACGTCTGTTCTTGCGAAATAACTGTGAAATTCTGAGGCACGGTTGTGAAACTAAAAAACTGCCACATCCAGACTGATTGGTTCTCAAAACCATTCAACAACAAAAGCTACCTCTATTTTTCATCAGACCATCCTTAACACACCAAAAAAGCCGTGCTTTTAGAATTAGCTACGCGGTTGTATAGAATCTGCAATAGCCGAAATGAGGATGTCCGGAATAGACAGTGCTTGGAAGCAAGGCTTCAAAAACGAGGTTATCCCAAGGGGGTAATTAGCGATAGTTTTAGCAGGCTCAACAAAAAATGGGCGTGAACTGCTTTTTGGCAGCAGAACACAGGGCAAGAATCTAAAAATAGCGACCCGGGTTCACTCGTTATAACGTTCTCTTGCCATCTACCCAATATTACACAAATACTTAATATACAACACTTCTTGGACCAGTCCAAGCAATTAAGGGAAGTATTTACCAACCAACCCCTGATATCCTGCCGAAAGGGGACCAAGCCTGGGGCACCGGTTAGAACATCCGAAAAAAAAGGTTATGAACGGTCAGGCGAGGAGCAGACAGGAGTGCGGAAACTACATCTGTCAGCGGACTTATCAGCGGCATATATCAAGAAGCCTAAAATGTCGCGTATTTATGATTAACGCGCGCCCGGGTGGCCGGCTAGATACCCTCCGCTCGGGTGAGGGGGGGGGGGGAGGGGGCGGGGGCAGGGGATCAATTTGACCGTCTTGAGATTTCGGGCACAAAGAAAGCT